GAGAGAGAGAGAGAGAGAGAGAGAGAGAGAGAGAGAGAGAGAGAGAGAGAGAGAGAGAGTATCCCTGACTGTGTTGGGCTCGGCTGCCATATGGTCCATATCCGCCTGATTCTTGATGTTCTGAGAATAATTTTGGGTTGATCTCTCTCTCATGGCTTTGATTGGCGAGTGTCACGTGAATTTTGAGTGCGCTTGCATGGTTGCAAAGTGGGAGTCAATTTGGGTCGGATCATTGCACTGGTGTCAGAGCGGACTCCCATTGCCTTGGCTTAAGGAGGAAGAAGGTCGGCACTGATTAAGGCTGGCCGCCGTGGCCGGTGTGGTTGGATGAGCGGCAGCTTGGTGGGAGACCCGGCAGAGTAACAAAAGCAACGGCTGAAGTGGAAGTGCCCAAGAGGGTTGCGCATGTTCAGCGAGGAGTAAGACTCATCTGAAGATTAAAGATTCCTGGAGTGGCATCCAGCGTCATCAATCGGAAGCGAAGTGCTCGTCAACCCTAAGAGTTGTCTCTGCTGCAATTCCTTGTTGTTTCCCAGATGTTGTTGGTCTTTCCCTTCGATGCAAGCTGCTAGTCAATCCTGTTGATGTTGATTCTTGTTGTCGTTAATCAGGTCTAGGGTCTAGGGTCGGAACATGAGTACATATAATCTGTCGTTATAACCTGCTGGAGGAAAGGCTACCCCTGGTTTTCGGAGAGTGGCTAAGTTTGCATGCCTGCCGGGGCGCCTGGAAACCCCGTGCCGACCCTATCCTTGTCAGGTTGATCCTTCCCGCAGGTAGGCAGGGTTGCATGTGTGCCAGGGGGCCTGGAAATCCTGTGTAGACCCTGTCCCTGAAAAGCAAGCTACATGGGCTGTACGATACAGAGAGGAATCCGATTAACATGGCCCTTGCGCAACAATGACATTAAAAAAAAAAAAGTTCAAAGGGAAAAGGCATGGGCTGCCACGAAGGACATGTAAGAGGCTGAGATCCGCTGCAAATGGTAAAGCGGACACTATCCAAAAAGTGGCAAAAACAGCAAACATACCAACTTACAAAGACTTTCATCAAAAGATAACATCATACAGAGCGGGAGGTCAAGGGCTAAACTCAAGAGAATCTGGCTAGCAAATGCCGAAGTGGCCGCTATCAACAAACTCCGACTGAAACGGCTGGACTGACACAATTCTGAGGTGCCGGTCAGACGCCAGGGAAATCATACACAACCAGACGTCAGCGAAACCATACGCAACCAGACATCAGGGAAACCATACACAACCAGACGTCATTGAAACCATACGCAACAAGGCAAAGAAGCACGATGCACCTGTCCCTTAGTCACTCCGAGACATTAGGCAACGAGCAAGACCTAACTTGGCCTTCAGCAAGACCTAACTGCTGAAGGCCTTCAGCAAGACCAAACTGCAAAAGCCTGGAGGAGACTCAACCATAGGAGGACACAATGGCCTGATTTGGCCAAAAAGGTTGTAAAGGATTCCTTATGACAGCAACTATGAAAAGGCAGAGGGTAGATACGTGGCCTACCGGATTCACCCGAATAGAACTTCCGGTCATTTTCGCTGCGTCTAGACAGAAAGATGATCTCAGTATGGCTATAAGGACTGGGTGTTCTATTCACGTGAAGACGGTGGTCAACTCGTCAGGAGGCGGACGTCAGGCAAAAGAACAAATTTCCGAGACCCGCGCTGAGCATGGCAAGACACATGCACACAGCCGACTCCACGAATCCAAAGCTGCAAAACTGCTCTCATTGCAACTCCTCAGTAAAGACTGCGCCTTCAACGGCTCTAGAAGTCGTAACAATTTGTCAAAAGAAGCATGCTGAAGAAAATTTGGTAGTGGTTCCAATGTGCTGCTGAGACGGGCGTGGTCCTCTATACAAACGTCCTAGCTTATCGAGAACAGCGGTGGGCATTCTCAGACACAATGATTCCTGGGGGCTCTTGCGGGATTTGAATTTTGAACCCGTGTCATCGTATGATGGGAAAAGAGTACCACATGCGGTTTACAGTGAGACTGAGAGTGAGAGGAACCAAAGAAGGACCGGCCGCCCCGGGCGGTCTGACAGTCGATCGTCCCTGACAAGGAGTCATAAATAAGGATCAGTGGTACTTCAACCTGAAGAGAAGGAAGCGTGGACATGTCAACAAATGTATTTTAATTTTTAATCAAATTTAATGACTTGCTTCCCGTTGCTGGATTAAGGTAGGGATTCTGGTGGGACTACGGGACAAGGGTAGGTAGGTAGCTAAGGATGAGGTAGTTACAAGATTTGAGAGAGGAAAATTAGGCTAGCAAATACAGCTTGTCCTCCATATGAGGAGAAGACAGCTGTACTAAAAAAAAAAAAAAAAAAAAAAAAAAAAACGGACTGACGCTCCCGAGAATGGACATGGCGCCAGGCCCATAAGGACCTGTTGGAGAACCCAGAAGAAAACACTTCAAAAAAGGGGAAAAGGAGTGGAGAGTGAAAAGGAACATTACCAGAACAAGAACTTCACAGTTTTCCAAGAGGCGGTATGTATCTGCAGGAATCTCACTGACATCACTGTGTACCAGAGATAGACGTGCACACACGCACAGACACGTACACACAGACAGAGGGGGTGGGAAATAAAAAACACCACCAGAAAGACAAAGACAAAGTTTGTCAGAATCATGCCAAAGACATGGAGGGACAAAAAAAACAAAGAAGACGGACGGGGAGGAGGAGGAAGAAGCAAAGCATATATATGACCAGGTGGGGGAGCAAGTGTAGGAGACGAAGGAAACGGCAAAGATAGGCACAGACGAGGACTGCTCAAACAAATCAGACGCAAATCAATCATGCGATCAAATAACAAGCTGTTGGTGATGACGCATTATGAACCTATGAGACAGAAAAACAACGAGCGGTGGAAGTGAGACAGAGCAAGTATTACCACATGTACAAAATAATTGATGGCATTTGAGAATGTCTTTTGATGAAGAAACAACCCCCTTCACTGCACTGCCAATCAACGACAACAATAATGAGACTCGCGAAGAATGCGGGGCTCTCCCCTCCATCCCTCGGCCAATACTATAACCTTGAAGAAGGGTGAGCACAATGTGGCGGAGGGGGTCTAAAACACAAGGCAAAACTGAGGTTAATGTGGTGGTGGGGTTCCGGGCAGGTACCTAATATAACACAAATTGCCGACTCGGAAGCCTAATGACTTGTATCCGGCACCATGCCACACTGGGAGTGGGGTAACCTGAGCACAGACCAATCACAAAAATTCCAAGAGCATTTCATGAATCGTCAAAAATTTTGAAAAAAAAAGAAAAAAAAAACATTATTAAAAAGCTAGGTTACCAGCCCGGACGTCCGGGACCCTTTTCTATTCCGGGTTGTCCGATCGGACAACTCCCCCGGTTGTCCGAGCGGGGCCCAGTGTCCGG